TGAAATAATGTACATTGAAAATCATCCTTTAGGGTCTGTTTATTTCTTTTACGAGATACTTTTGTAATTATTGCCTAAATTTCAGATATTTATTTATTGCTTGTTTTAGATGTTATTCATGCTTGTTTATATAAGCATGAATTTTATTATATATAAATAGAAGCTCTTTAGTGGAGTTTCAGCTAGAAGCATTGCCATGAATTTCTTCTATGTTTTAGTCTTCAAGACCAGTTTTCACCTTCTGGAGCAAATTGATGTATATTTTAATGGTGGATATTGGTGAATAGATGTTTTTTCAATATAAAAGCATGATATAGACTAATACTTAACTATTAAAAAGCATACTGTGGTTAGATACAATACTATCATTCCACTCAAATTGTGAGCGTAATTGACAATTGCCAAGGTTATTTGAAAGCAGTCTTGATTACTCTTGGATTTATTTTTATTATTGTCATCCTTTTATCTTATTAATCTAAAACTATATTTTATATTTCTGATTTTTCTCATTACATGAAGTATCAATAATTTTAAAATGTTAACAAAGACTAAATGCATTAAATAAACCCATTTGACACTCATTCGTATAAATGAAGCAAAAGTTCTTTATAACATTTAAACTATTTTATGATATAGGGCAATGAATTTGTATTGTCTGTGAAGTATGGATAAATTTACAATGTTCTTGGGTTTTCTAAAGGTTTGTTTTTTTTTTTTGTTTTGTTTTTTGACAGAGTCTCACTTTGTTGCCCAGGCTAGAGTGAGTGCCGTGGCGTCAGCCTAGCTCACAGCAACCTCAAACTCCTGGGCTCAAGCGATCCTTCTGCCTCAGCCTCCCAAGTAGCTGGGACTACAGGCATGCGCCACCATGCCCGGCTAATTTTTTCTATATATATTAGTTGGCCAATTAGTTTCTTTCTATTTATAGTAGAGACGGGGTCTCGCTCTTGCTCAGGCTGGTTTTGAACTCCCGCCCTTGAGCAATCCGCCCGCCTCGGCCTCCCAGAGAGCTAGGATTACAGGCGTGAGCCACCGCGCCCGGCCTAAAGGTTTGTTTTTGGTTTTTGTTTTTTGGGGTTTTTTTTTTTGAGATAGAGTCTAACTCTGTGGCCCAGGCTAGAGTGCCATGGCATCAGCCTAGCTCACAACAACCTCAAACTCCTGGGCTCAATTGATCCTTCTGCCTCAGCCTCCCAAGTCACTGGGACTACAGGCAAGCCATGCCTGGCTAATTTTTTCTATATATTTTTAGTTGGCCAATTAATTTCTTTCTATTTTTAGTAGAGATGAGTTCTCACTTTTGCTCAGGCTGGTTTCCAACTCCTGACCTTGAGTGATCCACCTGCCTCGGCCTCGCAGATCACTAGGATTACATGCGTGAGCCACAGCGCCAGCCTATATTATTATTATAATGTTATTATTTGAAGTCAAAGCTCCTCCAGAATGTCTTTAGTTGCTGTATACTTCCCACTTAAATAAATTGAAGGTTTTTTAGTACCCGCTCCACAAAAGACAAGGATTTCTGGAGTTGAGTTATATTTAAATCCAAGGCTCATAGGTTCATTTTCATCATGTAAAATTATGACTCTTCATAAAGTACACATAGAACTGTTCTTTCCATTTTATGAAAATAGGATTACATTCATTACGATGGACCCCTGAGCCATTTAATCCTTTCATTTACCTTTAGACTGTGTTTCAGTGAAAGTTCTCCAGTTACTACATACCTTGATATAAACAGTAAAAAAACTCATGACAGAAAATACTTAGAAATTGCTCTTGTATCTATGCTGTATTTTTGTTGCATTATAAATGTTTCTGGCCACGATACTGATTCTAGTGAGTTACACCTCTGATAACTAGGTAATTCCTAGCCTTCCTGCTGAGAATAATTAGAGGAAAATGGCAGAATTATATAAAATATGTGTTTAAAGGCATCATAGAGTAGAAAAATTACGGTTCCAAGATCTGAGAGAAGAAGCCTCAGAGAAGTAATCCTAGTACTTGGGGCTGCTTTCTCTTATGGATATGTGTTCGGTTCCAGAAAAGGCTGATGAGAAAGGCTGAGAAGCTAAGTGGGCCTTTCAGTAGACTCACAGGGGCCCAATAAGAGGAGTACTGATTAAAACAAAAAAAAACAAAAACACTTCCAAGCTTTGGAATGAAATGCTAACATCATCTAGAGCCTTAGAGTTTTTTTACGCTTTCATATAAAAATAATGAAAACTAACCTGAGATAGGAGGCAGGACACCCTGTGATAGAAAATCAAAAGAAAAAGTTGGGTACAGTGAACACCGTCATGGCGACAGGCACCCCAAAAGCCCTGACTTCAGCATTATACAGTGTATGTTCATGTAGCAAAAACATTTGTACCCGCTTAATATTTTGAAATTTTTTAAAAAAAGAAAATCAAAAGAAAAAAAGCAGATAATAGAAGTTAGCCCATCACCGTATAATCCAAGCTACTTGAGAGGATTACTTGAGCTATGATCACACCAGTTCCCTTCTGCCTAATCAACAGAGCAAGACCCCATCTCTAAAGAAAAATGTTTTTAATTAAAAAAAAAAGGTACACTCACAAGGGTTCAGGATAATAGGGTTATCAGCACAGATTTTAAGAATCTGTACATTTTTACTGTAAACAGGGCACAGTTGTAGAGAGTATGAGTATAAACTAGAAGGTATATCAGAAAAGAGTATCCAGACTGAGTCATAACCAGTGGGTGGGAAACACAGGAAAAAATGTGAGAGACTTATGACCCTTGATGAAAAGAACATGTAATTAATGACCCAGAAAGAGGTATGATGAATAATTTTCTATAATAAAATGGAGAAAAAACATTAACCCAAGAGAAGTCAAAAGGTTAAATTGTTAACCTAAACATACAGTTTATTTAGTAAGTTTATTTAGAAATACTTTATTTGCCATCCTGAGCAATGTAAGAATTCCTTTTGTTACTTGCTTTGTACTGTTTTTGCCTGTAAAAAAAATAATTTGAAAATAGGACAGAGGAGGTTTGAAGCAGTAGGTGGCGATTTGCATATGAGTATAGATAGTGTTAGATAATATTGTGAGAAGCCTTTGCTACAGTGACAGATGGACAGTCATAGGCCTTTCCCTAATGACAAAAGCTGTTTTTGAAGAGAGATCACAAAATAATTCTATACTCTAGGGCCTTGTTTCTCAAAGCTTCACTATCATCTGAGAGTTGGTTAGAAGTGCAGAATATCAGGCTCCTCCTTGACCTACCGATTTTGTTGTTGTTGTTGTTGAGACAGAGTCTCACTCTGTCACCTGGGCTAGAATGCCGTGGCATCAGCCTAGCTTGCAGCAACCTCAAACTGCTGGGCTCAAGCAATCTTCCTGCCTAAGCCTCCCAAGTAGCTGGGACTACAGGTATGCCCCACCACACCTGGCTAATTTTTCTATTTTTAGTAGAGATGGGATCCCACTCTTGCACAGGCTGGTCTTGAACTCCTGAACTCAAGCAGTCCTCCCACCTCTGCCTCCCAGAGTCCTAAGATTATAGGACTGAGCCACTGTGCCCAGCTTTGACCTACTGATTTAGATCTCCATTTATTTATTTATTTTGAGACAGAGTCTCACTTTGTTGCCCAGGCTAGAGTGAGTGCCATGGCATTAGCCTAGCTCACAGCAACCTCAAACTCCTGGCAATCCTCCTGCCTTAGCCTCCCAAGTAGCTGGGACTGCAGGCATGTGCCACCATGCCCAGCTAATTTTTTCTATATATATATATTAGTTGGCCAATTAATTTCTTTCTATTTATAGTAGAGACAGGGTCTCACTCTTGCTCAGGCTGGTTTTGAACTCCTGACCTTGAGCAGTCCGCCCGCCTTGGCCTCCCAGAGTGCTAGGATTACAGATGTGAGCCACCGTGCCCAGCCTAGATCTCCATTTAAATAAGATTCTCAAGTGACTTCATGTGCATGTTAACGTTTGAGAAGCACCTCACCTATAAGTAATACTGTACCATTTTATAGCTAACCGTCCTATATAATGTAGCATTCCCTGTGTAACATTAGGAAAGCTGACGCTTTCCTGAGTGATCCACTGTCTATATTGGTGCCTGTGAAATAATATTTTGGAAGGCTGGGAAATAATTGTAGAAATATTTGCATTAAAGTGTTATGTCTAAAGTATTTTGAAGGGAAGTATACTAATGTCTACAGTTTACCTGAAATATGTTTTTAAAAGATGTATTAATTGTTTAGAGGAATGAATAGATGGAAATATGTGATAAGGCAAAAACAGTAGAATAGTAAAATCTAGTTGGTTGGGTATATGGATGTTAAGTGTAAAATTGTTTCAGCATCTCTGTATGCTTAAAATTTTTCATAATGTTGGGGGGAACTTATGAACATGGATATGAAATATATAAATTGCCATACTCTCACATTCCTCAGGAGTTCTGGATAGTCAAGCTGTTACTTATAATTATCTATGTATTTATTATATATATAGTTTTGCTTTATTCTATAAATGTATTAATACTTTCCACTTAGGGAAGAAAAGGTGGCTAATATTTTTTGTGTGCCCTGTGTGCCAGGAAGTGCTTTACAGTATGCATTGTCTCATTTATTCTTTATAACACTTGGTGAGTTAGGTATTGTAAACCAGTTTATAGCTGAGAAAACCAAGACAAAGCTTAATATATTTGTATGATCTAGTAAGCTTAGGAGTTACATTTTGAACCTGTGGAGTCTGACTTAAGAGCTGATGGCTACCACATTGCACAACTCCCATCAATGGGGCCACCATTTATTTTTTTATTGTGGTTGGCACAATGGAGTATCATTCACTTGGAATGCAAAGTGGATATTTCCCCTGGGATTGTGCATCGAGGCTGTTTGGCCTTATCCACATGCTTATACAGCTGCCTCACTATTCACTTAAACTCTTAAATAAAAATTTAAAATATTTTTCTGATGTAAATTTTGATTTATTCCATGATTTTTTCTTGTGTGTTTCATTTTTAAGATTCTTGGATCTCCCAGTCAGCTTCATTTCCCCGTAATCAGAAGCAGCCAGGGGTGCATTCTTTATCACCAGTGGCCTCGCTGCCTAAACAGAATTTCCAGCCTTCAGCCCAACAGCAACTTACTAAACCAGCTAAGATCACTTGTGCAAACTGCCGAAAACCTTTACAGAAGGGACAGACAGCTTATCAACGAAAAGGATCAGCTCACCTCTTTTGTTCTACCACCTGCCTTTCTTCCTTCTCTCATAAACGTACTCGAAAGACACAAAGTGTAACATGTAAAAAGTAAGCAGCTTAGTACCTTTCAACATTTTTCCACATGGTTAAACACTAGTGGTATAAATAAGTATTTTGTATGTAACTGCAGATCTAAATAGTTTGATGGGTAGAATTGTTGCATGATTGTCATCAAGTTTATTGAGCTTGAGTTCTGTGGTTAGAGCTGTGGACTCACTTGTGCTGTATTTATTCTGGCAGGAAAATAGAATAGGTATGGGAGTAAATTGCCCCCTCCCTGCCACTGCCTTTGCCTCCCATTTTTCACATCTTTCCCCATCTTTGACATTAGTTCTGCTCTAATTTGATTACTAGGGACATGTTTCTTTTTTTTTTTTTTTTTTTTGAGACAGAGTCTCGCTTTGTTGCCCAGGCTAGAGTGAGTGCCGTGGCGTCAGCCTAGCTCACAGCAACCTCAAACTCCTGGGCTCAAGCAATCCTCCTGCCTCAGCCTCCCGAGTAGCTGGGACTACAGGCACGCGCCACCATGCCCGGCTAATTTATATATATGTATATATATTAGTTGGCCAATTAATTTCTTTCTATTTTTATAGTAGAGACAGGGTCTCGCTCAGGCTGGTTTTGAACTCCTGACCTTGAGCAATCCGCCCTCCTCGGCCTCCCAAAGTGCTAGGATTACAAGCATGAGCCACCACGCCCGGCCTCTGCCAGCATTTTTTAATGATTCTAAGAATCTTGAGAGCTTGTAGCGAAGTTCTTGTACTATTAATGCAGAAGACTTTTACCTCTGACTATTCTCTTTCCATATTTTTTAAGAACTCTTAGCAATGAAGCCAGAAGTGAATTTTGCTACATCCAAAAGTTATTATTGATTCCTAGGATTAAATCATAAGAAAATGAAAAGTGTCAATTATTATTCATAAATTTGACTTTTATTAAAATGCAGTGTTCTTAAATTGTATGTCTATCCCTTGTGTTTCAGAAATGCAGCTACAAAGAAGGCTACTGTTATTCCTCTGGTGGAATCAAGCAAATCCTTCCAAGAATTTTATAGTACATCTTGTCTGTCTCCCTGTGAAGACAACCAGAATCTTAAAAAAGGAGTTTTTAATAAATCAAGATGTACAATCTGTAGTAAATTAACAGAGGTTTGGATTTTTATACCTAGGTTGTTGTTTAGACTAATTGTGATAGTTTTAACTTTTAAATGCTATTATGTGTTCTGTCATCTACATAATGTACATGTCCTAGATATACACCATGAAGTTAAAAGGAAGAATAAGGACATGTTAGAAATTTCTTACAAATAAATATCCCATTTACATAGTGTGGAAAATACACATCTGTTTCTGTGGAATTGGTTGTGCTTATAAACAAAGCAATTGTCTATGATGGATTTTGTTCTTATTAGCAATGCTAAATAAAAATGTTTCAGGACATGAAGGAAGCAACAGATCCTGGTATGAGAACATGTGGAACAAGTAGAGTGAATGTTCCCTGTTTGCGAAACATTAATTAAGTGGTATTGCAATGTTATTAGTGGCTAGAAGAGGAAGAAACATGTATACTGGCAGTCCTCATTTTACAAAGTCCTTGGTAACTAGATTTGGTGTTGGTTACCCTGGAGCCATACAGATCAGGGGCATAGTTTTATCTCATTTACCATGGTAAGAACCACCCTAGTTATAGATACACAGGTACCATCTTCAATATAGACAATATAATACTGCCTAAAAATTGCTGATAAGAGAGATAGCTTGGCGATTAAGCAGCTGAGATTGGTCAATAGAGACAGGCTAGTCCTCTTGCAAGACAATACTCACCACATATTGCACAAACAACACTGTTCAAACTACAGAAGTCGGACTTGGAAACTGTCTTCCATCGTATTCACTACACCTTGCACCAACTGACTACCACTTCTTCCAGGCTTTAGATCACTTCTTGCAAAGAAAAATATTCAATTCTCAACAAGCTGTGGAAAACGTCTTTCATGATTCCATTACCACTTGCTGTCCAGGCTTCTTCACTGCTGGCATAAACAGATTACCATTAAAATGGCAAAACTGTGGCCAGGTATAGTGGTTTCACACTTGTAATGCTAGCATACTGGGAGGCTGAGCAGGAAGATCACTTGAGTTCAGGAGTTCGAGACCAGCCTGAGCAAGAATGAGACCCTGTTTCTACTAAAAATAGAAAAATTAGCCAGGTGTGGTGGAAAGTACCTGTAATCACAGCTATTGGACAGGCTGAGGCAAGAGAATAGCTTGAGCCTTGGTGTTTGAGGTTGCTGTGAGCTGGGCTGACCACCACGGCACTCTAGCCTGAGCAACAGAGCTAGATCTGTCTCAAAAGGGGCGGAGGGCAAAACTGTCAATAGTTTAGGCACCTAATTTCATTAATTTAAACTGCTTCTCATTTGACATATAATAAACCACACTTTTGATTCAAAATCGGACATTTCATATTTAATGGCCTAATTTTTTTTTTTTTTTAGACAGAGTCTCGCTTTATTGCCCAGGCTAGAGTGAGTGCCGTGGCGTCAGCCTAGCTCACAGCAACCTCAAACTCCTGGACTCAAGCAATCCTGCTGCCTCAGCCTCCCGAGTAGCTGGGACTACAGGCATGCACCACCACGCCTGGCTAAATTTTTCTATATAATAGTTGGCCAATTAATTTCTTTCAATTTTTAGTAGAGACGGGGGTCTCACTCTTGCTCAGGCTGGTTTCGAACTCCTGACCTTGAGCAATCCACCCGCCTCAGCCTCCCAGAGTGCTAGGATTACAGGCGTGAGCCACCGAGCCCGGCCAAACCTAATATTTTTTTATGACTCATACGTTCTTTTGTCTATTCGTGTCTTTAGCCTATCTTAAATTGTATGTCTTCCTTGTGTTCACAAATGCGCTACAAGCGGTATGTTATTCCTTGGTGGAATAAGGCAATCCTTCCAGAATTTCATTAATTCTTGTCTGTCTCCCTGTGAGGAAACCAGGGGATTCTTAAAAAAGGAGTTTAATAAATAAGATGGTACGCAATCTGTAGAATTAACAGGGTTTGGATTTTGTTAACCGTAGGTTGTTGTTTAGACTGAATTGTGAGTAGTTTTAATTTTCAATGTGATTATGTGTTCCAGCTCTATATGTACATTCCTAGATATACACCATGAAGTTAAAAGGACGATAGGAATGTTAGAATTTCTTAATGAATTATCCATTCTAATTAGTGTGGAAGTACACATCTGTTTCTGTGGATTTGTTTGTGCTTATAACAAAGCGGGTTATGAGTGGATTGTTGCTTCTTATTAGCATGTAAATACGAAATGTTTCAGGGGCATGAAGGAGGGCAGACAGGGATGCCTGTATGAGCACATGTGCAAGAGAGTGGAATGTTCTGTTTGAACATTAATTATTTATAGATGGTATTGCAATTGTTATTAGTGGTTAGAGAGGGAAGAAAACCTATACTGTCAGTTCCTCATTTTACAAAGTCCTTGGGTAGCATGATTTGGGTGGTTGGTCCTGGGAGCGATACGATCAGGGGCCTTAGTTGTTATCTCTTTACCATGGTAGACACCCGTAGTTATGCATACAAGGTACCATTTCAATATGACATATTAATACTGCCCTAAGAAATTGTGAG